TGTGCTCTAATCAAATATACTTAATCATATATTTTCTTAAGTGTTCCTATATTTCTAGTAAGGTGGGAAATGAAGAGTTCAGACTATTGTCTACTTCCTCCAACAGTTCTTTTCACTAGGGGCCATCTACTTTGGTTGTTCTGCTTGTTTTTCTTCTATAGGACTATCAGATTCCATTATAGGCATTGTTGTTTTTTCCTACATACAACTTGGGGTTTGGGCCCAGCTGCCAGAGAACCATAAATAGAAACAATATTCTAGGGGGAAAGTATGGTGAGCTCCTGGTAAGTTGTCATTCTCCTGCTGATACATCAGGAGGTGATCTCTTTCTCTGAGACAGCCTACCTTTTTAACTCTCACACCTCTCCTTAAAGGACTGAAAAAACAATTCCTCCAGTCACACAGATGTTAGTACCCTTTATTGAGTAGGCCGAAAGAGCCCTTATACTCAGCTTTCTAACTTAATCTCACATTCCCCAGATCCTACTATATGCAGGACTTTGAATTAGAAGTGGAAGGGAGACCAGTGGGGTTGAATTTAAGCTGTCATATTGCCACTAGCCATTTTCCTTCAAAGAGGAGGTTCTCATTCTAAAACCTGTAAATGTATCAACATGGACGAGACTGGAGGAGATTATGCTGAGTGAAATAAGTCAAGCAGAGAGAGTCAATTATCATATGGTTTCACTTACTAGTGGAGCTTAAGGAATAACATGGAGGACATTGGGAGCTGGAGAGGAAAAGGGAGAAATCAGAGAGGGAGACGAACCATGAAGAGACTATGGACTCTGAGAAGTAAACTGAAGGTTTTGAAGGGGGGGGGGGTTGGGTGAGCCTGGTGGTGGGTATTAAGGAGGGCACATGCATGAAGCACTGGGTGTGGTGCATGAACAATGAATTCTGAAACATTGAAAAAGTAAATAAATAAACCACAATAAATAAATAAACAAATGAATAAATAAATAAAACAAACCTGTAAATGGGATCCAGGGGGATCCATGATCCTCTGAAATTACCATCAAATTATATTTACTTATGTATTTATCTATCTACACATATGTATGTGCATGTTTCTGCGGAGTTTTGGGAAAAGTTTTTTTAAAAGAATTTACTTTTCTTAGAGCAATTTTATTTTCACAGCAAAATTAAGAAGAAGATACAGAGATGTCCCATATAGCCCTGCCCCTGCCCCTACACAGCTTCCCCATTATCAACATCCTCCGCCTGACTGGTGCACTAGTTACAACTGATGAACCTACATGGACACATCATAATCACCCCAAGTCCATAGTTTACCATAGGATTCCTTCTTGGTGTTGAGCATTCTGTGGATTTGGACAAATGTATAATGACATGTATCCACCATTATAGTATCATACACGGTATTTTCATTGTCCTAAAGTCCTCTATGCTCTGCCTATTCATCCCTCCACACCCCCAACCCCTGTCAATCACTGATCTTTTTATTGTCTCCATAGTTTTGTCTTTTCTTAAATGTCACATAGTTAGAATCATACAGGATGTGGCCTTTTCAGACTGGCTTCTTTAACTTAGTAATATGCATGTAAGTTTTCTCCATGTGTTTCCCTGGCTTGACAGCCCATTTCTTTTTGCTACATAATAGTCAATTATCTAAAGGTACCACAGTTTATTTATCCATTCACCTACAAAAAGACAGATGTTTTGGTTGCTTCTGAGTTTGTGCAATTATGAATAAAGCTTCTCTAAACATATGCATGCAGGTTTTTGTATGATTAAAAATTTTCAACTCCTTTGGGTAATCACTGTGGAGCACAACTGATTATTTGATCACATGATAAAAGGATGTTTAGTTTTTCAAGAAACCGCAAAACTGTCTTCCATAGTGGCTGTATAATTTTAATTCCCACCAGCAATGAATGTGAGTACCCATTGCATCACATCCTCACCAGTATTTGGTGGTGTTAGTATTCCAGACTTTAATCTATTCCTATAGATATGTAGTGGTATCTTACTACTATTGTTTTGATTTCCATTTCCCTGAAAATATATAATATTGAGCATCTTTTCATATGCTTGTTTTCCATTTGTGTATGTTCTTTGGTGAGGTGTCTGGCCCATTTTCTAATCAGGTTGCTTGTTTTCTTATTGTTTAGTTTTAAGTGCTCTTTGTGTATTTTGGATAGCAGTCCTTTATCGGATGTGTCTTTTACAAATATTTTTCACCCAGTCTGTGGCTTGTCTTCTCAGTCTCTTGAGTTGAGAAGTTTTTATCAGATTCTCAAAATAATGTTAAGAATCACAATTTTATAGGGGCACCTGGGTGGCTCAGTGGTTAAGTGTCTGCCTTTGCCTCAGGTCATGATCCCAGGGTCCTGGGACCTGCTGAGCAGGGAGACTGCTTCCCCCTCTCTCACTCCCTCTGCTTGTGTTCCCTCTCTCTGTCTCTCTCTCTGTCAAATAAATAAGATCTTAAAAAAAAAAAAGAATCACAGTTTTATAGACCCATACCTGAATTTGGTACAAATCCCCAATATACCATTAAGTCAATATGCCAATAAGATGTAGATCATTCTAAACCAGCAGGTAAAGAAGGTCTCACAGCCTCTCTGACACCAGGAATAACAGTTAAAAGTAAATATCATCTATTTCTGTGTATGCACTTGGAAGATTGCCATTTCAAGAAAAGGCAAGTTCTTGGACCTAGAAGGAAATGAATTAAAAATAAATAAAACAAGATATATTGAAACATACTACAGTAAATAATAACCTCCATAGAGTGGCAAAAGTAACAAAAGTAAAAGAGTTGTGCATTCAATGAGTTAAGGAATAAGAATTCAAAAAAGAGCTTTTTGAAGACAAGTTAGGGAATTTTTTTTTAAAGATTTTATTTATTTATTTGATAGACAGAGATTACAAGTAGTCAGAGAGGCAGGCAAAGAGAGAGGAGGAAGCAGGTTCTCCACTGAGCAGAGAGCCCGATGTGGGGCTCTATCCCAGGACCCTGAGACCATGACCTGAGCTGAAGGCAGAGGCTTTAACCCACTGAGCCACCCAGGCGCCCCCAAGTTAGGGAATTTTAAAGTAATAAAGTTAAGACAAGTTTATTTCCCTTCAAAAAAAAAAAAAAAAAACCCAAAGCTTAAAGTTTTTTACATTCTTGCAGTGTTATGTTGATGGTGATCCTTTGGCACTTGGCACTGCACTTCTAAATTTTAGATATATTGGGTTTTTTTAAATCTCTTTAAAAATACGTTACTGGGGCCCCTGGGTGGCTCAGTGGGTTAAGCCTCTGCCTTCAGCTCAGATCATGATCTCAGGATCCTGGGATCGAGCCCCACGTCGTCGGGCTCTCTGCTCAGCGGGGAGCCTGCTTCTCTGTCTCTCTCTGCCTGCCTCTCTGCCTACTTGTGATCTCTATCTCTGTCAAATAAATTTAAAAAAATCTTAAAAAAAAATTAAAAAAATTAAAAAAATAAATAAAAATACATTACTGACTTTAATCAAAAGTAGGTCAGCATAATGTTCACTACATTATATGGTTATCTTTGAAACACAAACCCTAGTAATTCTAATGGAAAAAAAGATTTGATGCTTTTTTATTTGAGGTGAATATAAATAGAAAGTGCACTCAGGACTATCTTCTTTGTCTCTACCAAATAGAAAGAAACAAATATACCCTTCCATATGCCTTAAATGACTTTTAGATTTTTAAATATATCCATACATTGCTTTTATTTTTTTTAAGATTTTATTTATTTATTTGACAGACAGAGATCACAAGTAGGCAGAGAGGCAGGCAGAGCAGGGGCCAGGGAAGCAGGCTCCCTGCTGAGCAGAGAGCCCGATGTGAGACTCCATCCCAGGACTCTGGGATCGTGACCTGAGCTGAAGGAAGAAGCCTTAACCCACTGAGCCACCCAGGCGCCCTCGTACATTGTTTTTATACAAGTTAGTCTTTTATATGACCACAACCAAGCTAAACTCCTAGCAAGTGGGAGTAGAAGTGGAAAGGCTAGACCTTTCTAATGCAATCTATAATCCTCTACACATTCCTCTTAAATTAAGAAAAGCTCATCTTCATAAATATTAAGCTATAAAGTTACTATCAAGAATTCATAGTTTTTCTACACTTGTTACAGTGAAAAATCATAATGTATAGAATTACTGATCACCCTAAGCTAATGTAATATTGTATATGAACTATATTTCGATTTTAAAAATTTAGTGAAAAAATTCATGTAGTTCTTAATTTATCCCCTATATATTAGATATAATAAAAATACATGAATAGAAGTTTACCTAATTTTCTAAAAGAAATGTGTATTTCTTTTTTTAAATGTCTTGATCATATAATAAGTACATACAAATTTGGTCTTCCATTATACTTCATCCTTTTATCCTTCCTGTTTCCCTTTTAATAAATATGTGCTCAATGATTATTACTTATTATTGTTATATGATGCATAATAAAAATCTATGCTCAAGGTACTAGAATCCAATTATCCTTTTTTTTTTTTAATTTACCTCAGAGAGAGGGAGAATGTGTGTAAGCAGTGGAGGGACAGAGGGAAAGAATCCCAAACAGACGCCGCACTCAGTGTGGGGCCAAATGTGACATTCTATCCTGACACTGAGATCATGACCTGAGCCAAAATCAAGAGTCAGGCATTTAACCAACTGAGCTACCCCCAGGTACCCCTAGCTATCCTGTTATCTAACCAAAGAGTTCCCATTAGTAGATGCCAAGGAAATAACTATGGAGCAGTGATAACAGATATTACTGAATGATCACAGAGTTTATGTCCAGTAAAGTTGGATACATCCATCTTATCACCACAGACAAAACCAGCCTGTCAGGAATAGTGCTCATTGTGAGACCTATATGCCATCTAGATAGAAAGCATTGTCGTCTCACCACCACTTGCTGGGGATTTCCTCTCCAGCTCCCAAACTGTCTTCAAAATGAATTTCTAGACCAAAGGAGCTCTGTTTAACTATGCTATATTTCTTGGTTTCAGATGGCTATACCACTGATGACATTGAGTTTTACTGGAATGGAGGAGAGGGAGCAGTAACAGGAGTTAATAAAATTGAGCTTCCTCAGTTTTCAATTGTCGACTACAAGATGGTATCCAAGAAAGTGGAGTTCACAACTGGTGAGGATATTTCCCCCAAAATTAACCAGGGGTACTGTGAAATTAAAGAAGATGATTCCTACCAAATGGAGATCTGATTTTTTTTCTTTTTCCTTTGTCCTTTCCTTTCTTTTCTTTTTTTTCTTTTCTTTCTTTCTTTCTTTTTTTTTTTTTTTTTTTTTTTTTTTAACTCAGGGGCATATCCACGACTGTCACTGAGTTTTCGTCTCAAGAGAAACATTGGTTACTTCATTTTGCAAACCTACATGCCTTCCACACTGATTACAATTCTGTCCTGGGTGTCTTTTTGGATCAACTACGATGCATCTGCAGCCAGAGTTGCACTAGGTAATGCATTCCCAACACTGCACAGAGCTGGTAGGATTTAGCTTCAACCAACCAACCAACGATAGAAAATATAGGCAAGGGCTTTTCTCAGAGCAAGTCAAAGAATGAGATTACCATAATAGTCCTTGACAGTAAAGCATCTAAGGATAAGCATTTTTAGGATGAATGTTTTACAATGCAATATCTTTTTAGCATTTTACCAAAAAAAAAAAAAATCTTGGAATATACTCAATATTAATCAATACTAACCGTATAAGTGCTTCTTAGAGTCTATTTAAATTCTCATTACACTAATTTTTACCAACTTTGTGATGATTTCCTCTTTGGTCCCTGCTTTTTACAGTGAAGAACATTTACAATTCGTTATTCTCAAATGGATTTGGTAAAGCTAAACCTTGTGACTATTAACAAGCTATTAAATTGTTGGGCAATACTATCTTTCAAACATTAACTGAAGTTAACTCGTGGGGATCCGAATTTCTGTTAAATGTAGCTCATCACACTTGAATAAGGCACAGACATTCATCAACTGGATTAATGATCTGTGATCAGGATGAAATAAAAATGGTTTCCTTCCTTAGGGAACAAAATACAAAATTAATCTTGCCATGATTGAGTAATTGCTACAAGCTGAAAGGCTATATTGGAGACTTTAAAGGGCTCCTTGGAAAGTTAGAATACGAGAGGTCTGTTTGATGAATCTGAGCATGTGTGGGTCTGCTTCATTATTTGATCCTAGAGCCCTTTCAGTTATCACTTTCTAGGGCTTATTCTCATGCATGGGTGCTCATGAGCGTACACACACTCACACACACACACACCACACCACACCCCAAATACGTAACAGCATCATTTCCAGCTAAGCTGACATCCATATCATTTCTTTTGAGATAGCTCAACTGGGTTAGATGCTCAGCACACGCTTTCACACCTAAACTAATTGTCATCTCTACAGCTAATTTCTAATGGTTGAGTAATTTCTAATGGCTCACAAAGTCAAGTTCTGGCAGTCCCTTCTCAATCTTTGAACGTTCCAAAACTAAGGAAAGCCAACCAATAGTTTGTCCCATCAGAGGCATGAATCTGCACATATTATTTGACTACAAACATGAGTACATGTATAATAGGGTTAAGGAAAAAACAATGGATGATGTCCACAGCAGGAAATAATAACTATCAAGGTCATGAATTGTTCTCTTTACACGTCTGTCCTCAAAGCTCATGATATTTTGATTAGAGATGTCATCACATAAAAATGCTGACTTCATCCTTTCTTTGAAATGTAAAATCAGTGCTATTTTAAAACCTAACTAAGGAAAAAAGGCATTTAGTTACTAACCCTTCTTGCCTTAAAATTTAAACCAAGGAGTAGAAACAGAAGTGTGATTGGTGGATTTGTAAATGAACTCTTTCTACTAAGGACATTAGCTAGAATTATATTGGGCAAAATTTAAAATGTTATTGAAAGAAATAAGTAAGACGATTCATGATGGCATTTCATAAGAGTGCAGCATATTTGAATTCATCACCGATCTGAACCGTTTTAACTTTCTGTATGGCAATCCTGACTTCCTATTTTATCTGTTCTTCTAAAAGTTAAATAGTCAAATCAGGAAATTTGTCTAGAATAATCTGACAGGTAAATGAGTGCTAAACTCTTTTTTTTCCCCCTTTTCATTTTCTACCTCCCATTCTCTTTGCCAGCTGTCCTTTGTCTTTAACATTCATTTTAACATTTCCTGTCTTTATTTTTAAGGACTCTCATCAAATTTCAGGTTTTACGTTCTCCTCTCTTTGCTTTTATTTTAAATGCCTTTGTTTAACCCCTCCTTGCTTTTTTGCCCCTAACTAGGTCATCTACAGCAAAATAATCTCAGAGTTTCTGTTTATTCAGCTATACCTGCCCTATTGTACTCAGCAAGCTGTTATGGCAGCCATATAAGATAACGCATAATTATCTTATATATCATAATATATCTTATATTAGCCATATAAGATAATGCATATTACACTTTTAAACACAAAAGTGTAATATGTGTTTAAAAGTTTAAAAGTGCGGGCGCCTGGGTGGTTCAGTGGGTTAAAGCCTCTGCCTTCGGCTCAGGTCATGGTCCCAGGGTCCTGGGATCGAGGCCCGCATTGGGCTCTCTGCTCAGCAGGGAGCCTGCTTCCTCCTCTCTCTCTGCCTGCCTCTCTGCCTGCTTGTGATCTCTATCTCTGTCAAATAAATAAATAAAATCTTTAAAAAAAAAGTTTAAAACTGTAATAAAAATGTTTAAAAGTGTAATATGCTATATAAATGTGTAATATTAGTATTGCAGCATGAATTATCCACATTAGGCTCCAACTTTCCTTTCAATTCTTGCTTTTCTCAATTACATTTCATCATCACTGTCATCAACACCAAATATTTTTTATTCGGCCATGCAAACATTATATGGTTAAGAAAGCTAGTTTTTTCAAAAGATTTTTATTTATTTATTTAACAGAGAGAGAGATCACAAGTAGGCAGAGAGGCAGGCAGAGAGAGAGGGGGGGAAGCAGGCTCCCTGCTGAGCAGAGAGCCGAAGGCAGGGCTCCATCCCGGGACCCTGAGATCGTGACCTGAGCCGAAGGCAGAAGCCTCACCCACTGAGCCACCCGGGTACCCCAAGAAAGCTGTTTTTAACAAAGTAGACAAAACCAGAATTTTCCTTTTGAAAGTTTACAGTCTTACTCTTCTTCACAAATCCACGTTGAATTTTTCAGGAAGTCTTTTCTTGATTCCAGGAAACTAGTTCATTCTTGACTCTTGAATCCAGTAGAGGTGATATTTGAAAAATGAAAGCAACAAGATTATATCTAAAAACGACAGAAATCAAGTTATTGATGCAAATCATGAACTTTCTTATACATTTCTTCTTTTAGAATTGTCTCATTATGAATGATGCATTATCAGTGTAATAATCTGTAATACTGACCTTGTGGCCTGGGTATTCTAGATATATGGAATGAAGTAGGTCTCCTCAAACTGGTAACCAGCTTTCAGTTGGGTAGTGGCTGTCGTAGGCATTAGTATCACAAGAACAGGTTTAGTAGGAAAATGAGAGAGATGCTGAGAGAAGAAAGAAGTTGTGGTGTGTAACAGAATGACAAACGTTTTGACAATAGACAGTAAACCTATCAATGGGATTTTGATATGCCTTCCCATTTACTTTTTTTTGCCCATGTGCATTATTTTTTTTTATTAGATTTTTTGTTTATTTATTTGTCAGAGAGAGAGAGAGAGCAAGCACAGGCAGACAGAGAGGCAGGCAGAGGCAGAGGGAGAAGCAGGCTCCCTGCCGAGCAAGGAGCCCGATGCGGGACTCGATCCCAGGACGCTGGGATCATGACCTGAGCTGAAGGCAGCTGCTCAACCAACTGAGCCACCCAGGCGTCCCCCATGTGCATTATTTTAAAAAAAATGTTTTCCAACCTTCCATTAATGGTACATCCTGTTTTATGATTTGTTCATGGACTGTATGGGGAGCCTGCAACTTTGTCTTTCAAAATGTCCACTCTTTTTGCCCAATGCTTTATGGCATTACTGCCATCACTCTGGGGCACCAATAAGGAAATTGCATCTGTCTTCTCAGTCTTTATTTTTTTTTTTAAGATTTTATTTATTTATTTGACAGAGAGAGATCACAAGCAGGCAGAGAGGCAGGCAGAGAGAGAGGAGGAAGCAGGCTCCCTGCCGAGCAGAGAGCCCGACGCGGGGCTCGAACCCAGGACCTGGGATCATGACCTGAGCCGAAGGCAGCGGCTTAACCCACTGAGCCACCCAGGCGCCCCTCTTCTCGGTCTTTAAAGGGCAGCTTAACGAGTGCGTTCAGTAAGCCGTGTCTTTCTCTTCCATAGGAATCACCACTGTGCTGACAATGACAACCATCAGCACCCACCTCAGGGAGACCTTGCCAAAGATCCCTTATGTCAAAGCGATTGATATTTACCTGATGGGTTGCTTCGTGTTTGTGTTCCTGGCTCTGCTGGAATATGCCTTTGTAAATTACATCTTCTTTGGAAAAGGCCCTCAGAAAAAGGGAGCCAGCAAACAAGACCAGAGCGCCAATGAGAAGAACAAACTGGAGATGAATAAAGTTCAGGTAACATATTAAATATTCCTAACGATATTCGTCCAAAATTTATCAGCAGCATGGTGCTCAAGGCTCCCATAACAAGGGAAAAAAGTAATTTTTCTTTAATACAGCTTCAAACACCTCCTCCCTTTTATATATTTGAGAACTGAGGATTGAAGAAGTTAGGTTGAATTAACATAGGTTAATAACATACCTGGGCCTAAAACTCAACCCCAAGTCCATTATCTTTTATTCTAAACTATATAGTTGTAAAACAGTATGCAGAAGAATAATGCCAGATTTGCTTGATAAATAAATGAGAGAACTGAAGTGACTCAATTCTGTTCTAAGTGGAAATAAAGAAATATGGCCCAGTGGTTAAAACCACAGACTGGAATGAAACTGCCCAGCTCTGCTATTTCCTGGCTTTATACGGCCAGGCCAATCAACCTATGTGACTCATGTTACCTCTGTCCTCAGGTCCTCATCCATAAAATGGAGATTATTATAGTATACCTATTTCACAGAGTTGTTTTAAGGACTAGATGAGTTTTTGAAGAGCCTTATATTTGTAACAATACCTGGAACATAATGAGTGCTCATTATCATTATAGCTACCTAGCTCTTATCATTATATATAAGACATTGTGACTATTTTTCTTTTGCTTTTCATTGGTAAATCTTATGACCTGTTTTTATGCTGGGTAGAATTAATTAAAATTAATGCCTTTTTTATTCTTTGAGAACATCTCTTTTGCCTCTGCTTCTATGCCATGTTTCACTGAAATCAACTTAAAATTATGTACATTGAAATGCCATATCCACTATAAATTATTTTCAAGATGGCACACAAATGACAACTCAAATAGTCACTGGTTTAGCTACTGTTCTGAACATTGCGACTACTTCTCTGAAGGAGACAAAGTGGCTGGCTCTCACAGAGTTTAGATTCTACTGTGGGAAGAGAGGCAGTAAACATGTAAACATATTCAGAGGATAATTTGAGGTTGTAGTAAGTGCTATGAAGAAAGTAAAACAGAGCAATGGGTAAATAAATGATTTGGATCAGATTCAAGGGAACAAGGAACGAAAAACAGGTGATCAGGAAGACCTCTCAGAGACATTACCACTTGATCTGAGACTTGAGTGATGAGCAGCAGTAACCATGCCATGCCCATTTCAGGCAGAGGAAATGACAAGTGACATAGATTCTGAGGAAGGAATTGCTTGATGTGGGAAAGTACCAAGAGAAGACTAGTGTAGCAAGTGCATAGCAAGTGAGGGAGAAAATGTAATACGAGAGGTGGTTGGAGAATCAGGCAGAAGCCAAGCTATAAATCTTCAAGATGTATCTTCATGCTCTTTAGTAGGATACCAAAACTGGACAAACACTGCCAAGTAACTAGAAAATTATGGGAAAAATACCAAACATATTCAGCCAAATGGTCAAAATCCAAAGTAACTCATTCAAATAAATTTTTACTCTTATGTGAAATATTATGCTAGATTCTATGGGAGAAGGAGGACGCATGATACTTGCCCTCAAGAATCTTCTGATCTTTCTGGAAAAGAAAATTATAGGAGGTGATTAGACTATAAAATGAAACAGGACATCACCTACCTTGAGGAGCATATCTGAAAGGAAAAGGTTCCCGTTTTCCGTTTGTAACCATACCAGCTTTAAAAGTATGTTTAGTAGAAGTTTTTAAGGCTACCTCTTTTCTGTTCCCATTCCAATCTCAGTTGCCTTCTAAACCAAAGCTGGTCCTCTGCATGGCTAGAAATGTGTGTTAATTGATATATCATGGAGAAAAGGCCTACATAAATAAAGTAGCATAGGTTCACTGGTAGGAAAATCCAAAGATATGAACTGGATGGGCACTCAAAGATAGGTAGAATTTGGAAAGGTATCAAGGAGAATACGTGGTCTTTCAATTGGCTCAGAAAGCAATGTACTCTAGAAAGGTGATTAAATGGAAAGCCCAAGCAAACTGAAATCAATTCACTCAGATCGTTTAAAAAGATCATAAAACAAACTTTAACCAAACTCTGCGGCTATTGCCTTGATTCCACCCCAGGATATCAAAGAACTTTTCTAAGGTGCTATGGGACACATAACAGCAAAAGGAAAGCCTTGTATGTCATATCATACTGAGAGGTATAGTATATATTGCTCTGAAGAGGACTTAGTGACTAGAAAATAAATAAGTAAAATGTGTCTGTCTAACTGATAAGCAGGCTTTTTGACTAACATTGGACTCAAACATAGTAAGATTTCACTGGATCTCAAATCAGGAAACTCTTAACCCAGGTAAATTTGACACTTTGAATTTTAATCCCGGTAGAAAGCACAGAAAAATCCACCAATTGCCAGGAGATGAAACACTTAAAGAAGATAAAAATGCATTTTTATCCATAGACACCTAGACTAAAACCTCCACAAATGCTTTTCACAGAAACACAAAGAGACAAAATTATGCCAAAATTAATAAACACATCATGTTAAGACATGAAAAAGTAGTTTATATTGGATTAACCTTCCTGTGGATTAAAAATTATAAACCCTGAGCAAAAATCTATTAAAATCTGCTTGATAACATAAAAGAATAACTGAAACTAAGCAAAAACTAAAAGAGAATCAATCCTCAAAGGAAGAGAATGACCCTGTGTTAAATCTCTATTTACATCTTTGCCCTGAGGCTTCTCCGCACCAGTCTGGGGATGTGGGGCAGCAGAACTTCAGGAAAAAAAAAACAAAAAATCCAAAACAAAAAACTACAGTTTTATTGGTTTGATGAGTCAGAACATGGAGTTTGAAACTTCCAGAGTTCCTAGAAATCTTAGAAAGTGAACCACAAAAGAAACTCAGAATCTGAATATAAACTTACCACAAATCCATGGTTGATCCCTGAACTACAAATGTACAAAATGCTAAGAAGTCTGGAAAGGAAAAATAGCTGAAAGGTTTAAAAAGAACAAAAATAAGGGATTCTCCTTGAGTCAAGGAAAAACTAAAATAGACTCAGCCTAACTACACATAAAACCAAGTCACTACACATTCTAGGTGACCTATTAATAATTTAACTGTCCATTAAAACAAAACCCAACATTCATCAGGAAAATATATTATATTTAATATATTAAAAAAAAAAAAAAAGGGACGCCTGGGTGGCTAAGTCGGTTAAGACACTGCCTTCGGCTTGGGTCATGATCCCAGGGTCCTGGGATCAAGTCTCGCATCGGGCTCCTTGCTCAGCAGGGAGCCTGCTTCTCTCTCTGCCTCTGCCTACCACTCTGCCTGCTTGGGCTCTCTCTCTCTCTCTCTCTCTCTCTCTGATAAATAAATAAATAAATAAATAAAATCTTTAAAAAATATATATATATGTATATATATATAAAATTACTAGGCATGAGGAAAAACAGGAAAACATGCTCAAGAGAAAAGATTTAGTCACTAGAAAAAAACTGCGAAAGTCTTGATGTTGGCTTAAAAGGAAAGGACCACAATTAATAATAACTATAATTAACATATTTAGAAATTCATAGGAAAGAGTCAAAAACTGAAAACAACTGAAATACCCTATAATGGGCAAATGGTTAAGCAAACTAGTATTTTCATAATATGGAACACTAGCCCAATAAAAAGTAATGAACTACTGATACATGCAACAACTTGAATGGATCACAAGGCCATTATGCTGAGTGGGGAAAAAAAGCCCATCATAAAAGATTATACACTGTATGATTCTATTTATATAATATGCCGGAAATAACAGAATTATAGAGATTGAAGAATAAGTCAGTCGTTGCCAGGAGTTGGTGATTGAGGGGAGGAATTGAGTGTTATTGTTTAGAAAGAAGTAGCACAAGGCAGATCTTTGCAGTGGCGGAATAGTTCTGTATCTTGTAGTGGTGGTTATGAGAATCTTCACAGGTAATAGAATTACAGGGAGCTAGATACACTTTATACCAATGTCAGTTTCCTGGGTATTAGTGAACAATAGTTAAATAAGATGTAGTCAATGGGAGAAACTGGGTGAAGGATTCATGGGACCTCTCTGTGCTATTTTTGCCACTTTCTAGGAATCTACGATAATTTCAAAATAAAAAGCTTAAAATAAAGTCCATAGGAAGAGATTAATATAATATATGAAGAGATGGGGAGTTTCAGAAAAAGATTTGAAACTATGGAAAAGAACCAATGGAAATTATAGAATTGAAAAATGCATTAGATGGATTAGCACCAGATTCTATACAACAGAAGAAAGGATTAAAAAACAAGAATAGGGTGCCTGGGTGGCTCAGTCCATTAAGCATCCAACTCTTGATTTTGGCTCACGTCATGATCTCAGGGTTGTGAGAGTAAACCCCATGCTGGGCTCTGCACTGAGCATGGAACCTGCTTAAGATTCTCTCTCTCTCCCTCTGCCCCTCCCCCATCACATGCCCACACTCTAAAATAATTAAATAAAAGATTAGTGAAATTAATGTTAACATTGGCCATCTCTCAGTTTTTCCATTGCACTAGTTCTTGTCATAAATGCTACTACCTCAAGGATGCCTCAACTGACCAAACCCACTGTTGGTTTATATTTTGTACCATTGTTATTTGTCCTCACCATATCCTATGCTTTTCCACCACAGAATATACCACAATAGTGAATACATGTTTACTTAGTTATTTTTTTTAATGTCTGTCTCTCTATTAAACTGCAAGTTTCCCAAGGATTGGCATCAAGGTCCTTGTCTATTTGATTTATTGTTCTTTACTCAGAGGCTAGTACAGAGAACAAAAAACAACAACAACAAATATATATTTGTTGAATGAATAAATCCTAGAGAACCCTTCTCCATTTAGTGAGCATTTAGGATGAGTTCTTAGGTACCACCCAAGTTACTGAATGTTACATTATGATATTTTATAAAACCTTTACATATTCATAATATGTATTTAGGATGAGTGCTTAGGTACCACCCAAATTACTGAATGTTACATTATATTTTATAAAACCTTTACATATTCATAA